CCCCCCCCCCCCCCCCTCCCCATAAATAATGACCACTTCCTTAGGGATCTTCGTGGTAACTTTTCTCCCATCGGCATTGTTACCCTGGTCTTGTGTATTGCCTTTCTGAAATATCACCTAATCACCTACCGACCTTGTGCTCAGTTGGTAGAGAGCATTCAACTGCAATATTTGACAAAATTATGTACCCCAGTGCTCCTAGCCTGCTTGTTTGGAAATTGCACACCCGAGATTTTGAAAATTTAATGGTAAATATATAAGCAAGCATCAAAATTGCATGCCCAATATCAAGGTTGTGCAATACAAACTTTCCACTATGTTCGCTCCACACAGGACCAATGTCTAGGTTCCAGATGCCAACATTGAAACAGATGGGGAGAGAAGGTGTAATAAATGTATCAAGAAATGGTATAATACATACAATATTAGCTAGCCTGCTTAGTAGGTGTTTGCCGCTGCAGCCTGCTACTTACATAGACTATGGGCTATCAAAGGTGACAGGTTCAATTCCAACTGTTATGTTATTAGTCTGTCTATTATGTTACAAAACAACCCTTATATACATGAATCTAATTAGCATGCATATATACTGAATATATTACAATTCTCTTTTTTTTTTTTAATTTTAAAGTTATTTAAAATTGTATAAGGTCTCTAATTAAACTAAGTGTTTATTACTGTTCGATGATAATACTTAATAATACTAGTTCACGACTAATGTTCATTATATATAACCATTATATATTTAACTTAATAGTCAATCTAAATCTAAATGTCTCGTAAATATGTTCATGATAACCTTAATTAACATGCTTGATATCTCTCAGGTGGCTTACTCAATCGTCCGCTTCTAGTTTTATAATATTGTTCAGTACTTGGCTCTGAGACTTGTTCCTCACGAACTTCTCTGGCACTATCAGGCTCGGGAAATCTTCAATTGGTTCCCACGGTCTTGATATCTGAACACCATACTTCTGCTTTCTGATATGATTTCTGTTTCTTCTAAATCGTTGACCATTGGGTGTTTGAATGATGTACGATCTCGGTGTTTTCAGTTTCTCTTTGATCACTGCTGGTTTCCACTTATTCTGTACTTGTACTCGTACTGCTTCTCCTTCTTGCACTGCCGGAAGCTCCGTGGACCCTCTGTCATAATATCGTTTTTGCTTTCTTTGTTTTTCTTCGAACTTTTCTTTCATTCTCTCAGGATCAACAACTTTTGGCTGAAGTTGATTTGGAGTAGTTGGTAAGTGCGAACGCAAACGTCGGCTCATCAATAGTTGTGCTGGTGAAGCCACGTTACCAATGGGTGTGTTGCGATACTCCAACAAACTTAGGTACGGATCTTTTCCATCTTGTTTTGCTTTCGATAGCAAACGTTTCACGATTTGAACTGCTTTCTCAGCCAAACCGTTTGATTTCGGATAATATGGACTTGAAGTCTGGTGCTCGAAATTCCACTTTTGTGCGAACTGCTTGTACTCCATGGCAGTGTACTGAGGACCATTGTCACTTCTTACGACTGATGGAATTCCATGTCTTGCAAATATGGACTTCATATGATTCACAACAGTTCTGCTGGTGGTGTTTTCCAACTTTACTACTTCAATATAACGCGAATAATAATCTGCCACAACCAGATAGTTGTTCTGTTCCCACTGAAACAAATCAGTTGCGACCATTTCCCAGGGTCTCGATGGTATTGTTCCTTGCACCATGGGTTCTTTGGGATTCGACATCTGGTATTCTTGGCAGGTTTGGCATTTGGATACAACAGCTTCAATTTGCTCATTCATTCTTGGCCAAAACATGATGTCCCTTGCTCGTCGTTTGGATTTCTCTATGCCCATGTGACTCTCGTGTATTCTTTCTAGCATCTTTCCTCTCATACTGAGGGGTATGATAATCTTGTCTTGCTTCAACAAGATTCCATCTACTTCTGAAAGCTCGTAACGGTTCGTCATCTGTACTCGCTTTGTCTACTGCATGTATTTTCTTTGACTTGCAGAATTTAGCGAAATGATTCTTTTTGTCACACTTAAAACATTTCTTACCAAAAGCTGGACATTCTTTCGCAGGATGAGACTTTCCGCACTTTCCGCAACACGATACTTGTTCTTGTTTGTTGCCGCCGTTATGCTTGAAATCACGCCTTCGATTTGCATCTAATTTGCTACGATAATTTCCTGATTTGTTATATTTTCCTATGGCCTTGACGCTCTGAACATCGTTTAGTACTTTTAGTTGTTCCTCAGACTGTTCGTTTATTTGACATACTTCTAACGCTTTATCTAACGTTAACTTTCGTTCTCGCAATAACCGTTCTCTCACACGCTCCGATTTTATTCCGTAAACAACGCGGTCCCTAATCAACTCGTCCTCAAGAGACCCGAAGTTGCAATTCTTAGCGAGCAATTTAAGTTCAGTTACGTACTGATCGGCTGTTTCGTCGTCTCTTTGCACTCGCGTATTAAACTTGTATCTTTCCATAATCGTGTTTCTTCTGGGTTCACAATACTCGGCAAACTTCGCGAATAACACGTCGATTTTGTCCGTTTGAGCCTCTGTAAACTTCATTGTGTTATAAATGTCTCGCCCGTCTTGTCCGATCACATACCGGAACGCCGCACATTGTTCTTTCTCGCTGGCTTTAGACATGTTTAATCCAAGATATAACTGCATAGTTTCCTTCCATCGTCTCCATCTTTCGGACAACGACAACTGTTCAGTTGTGGAAAAGTTCATCTCTAAAGGAGGCTTCATAAACGGCTCCATCCTGACACCATGTTATGTTATTAGTCTGTCTATTATGTTACAAAACAACCCTTATATACATGAATCTAATTAGCATGCATATATACTGAATATATTACACCAACCATGGTCAAACAAACCTTTCAGCTTGCCTGATATAGACACACTCAGAGTAACACCATCTTAAATAATTTCACCTCTGTACAAACACCACAATTATTACATTCATGAGCCTATGTTGTTGTCTTTTCAGTACCATACTGGGTTAGTCACATATTTTTCCCTCGTAGACAATCAGCCGACATTTCAAGACAATTCCTGCGCCAGAAAAAGAAACTATCTCACTCTTCATTCACATGGCAAAAACAAGGAAAAGTAAACTTGATCAAAAAGCAGATAATATTTAAAATATCTCGTGTTTCATACAATTGTATATAAATTATTTTAATAACATATATTAAAGTTAAGATTTTAGTTCTAGTCTGGGCTGTTTGTATAAAGAGTGATATAAATACTGTAAACCACTGAATATAAGCCCCCTTCCCCGAATATAAGCCCCACCATGTATAAGCCAACCATATTCAAATGTTGTTGACATATAAGCCCCCCCCCCATTTTACAAACGAGTATAAGGTCAGGGCTTATATTCGGAGGTTTATGGTATTTCAGGTGGATAGTAGGCTCGATCCAGCCGGTGGGAGAGACCCACCGGCTGGATCGAGCCTAGGTGGATAGCTGAAAAAGAAAGCATTGATCTCCACTTTATCTTAAGCCATTTTGACAAGATTGTACAACCTTCCTATAATGATTGTGTTTGATTACAACCTAGGATATTCAATTATAGTAATTAGAAGTGTTTTTTATATGCCATACTTCACGTGTGTAGAATTCAATTCAGTAATTAGGTATGGCAAAAGTTGGCATTTGAATCATTAATTTAAAAACTTAATTTAGTTCCGAGGAATTGAATTCGACATATCTTGCCACATGCGACTTTGGTGCGGCGACTGATTAAGATGGCAAACTTTATATTTGCTGAATTACTAATTATTAATACATGAAACTATTAAATGACGTCATTAAAATGGTTAGTTTTTCAAAAACACACTACGGTTTTTAATTTAAATTCGTTAGAAGAAAATGTGCCCCACGAATCAAATTTGCGTACTTGGCCTTTCTCACGGCCATTTTTGGGTTGCTGCCGCTTCCAGGTTTGAGAGTCTCCGCACAGCGAAATACAACTTTTTCAGTAATATTGTAGTTGTTTTTATAATGGTAAATTTACAGTTGCAACCTTCGCTTTTCACGAAAAGTCGCTTTTCACGTTGTTTGAATTGTCTAGAATCTTTCACGAGGGCACTGAGACATACCCTGTTAGCAGAAGTATCCTTTTCCTCCGCCGTGAAAAGGATACTCTGCTAGCAGGGTAACTGAGACATACCCCCAAAATGGCGGATTTTTGCCTTTGTGCAGAAAGGCTAATTGAATTCAATAGGGCACATGTGAAGTATGGTGTATGAATCCGGCTTTACCAGATATATATGGTGTCTATTCAACTGTTTACAAACCTGTTCACCACTGGTAGGTGGATTTCATACACTCGGCTCTATAAATTTAATACACATTGTGACACACTGTAATATCCAGGTAGCAAAATAAAATTCACCAACTGATCGTATTTTGTCGATGTAATATACACCTTTGTCATATTTTTTTTAGTCGATTTAAGATTTTAAATAAATTAGCATTTTTGGAAATAACAGCAATAAAAAGAGTATAGGTCCAAGGTTAGTATCTACAAAAAAATTGATGACTTTAGTTTGAAAACTGTGCGACGCATGCCTACACTTGCCCGTTCAATATAAAATTCATGTACAATCTCTAGTAGAAACGTTTCCATTTGAAACTGATCTCATACTTTAAAAAAATAGTCGATTCGAGCAAGGCAGTCAAGATAAAGGCCTATAATGAGACGACCAAGTTTTGAGAAAATACCAAAATTAAGAAATGTATTCAACCATGCACTGAAAAGTAGTAAAGTTGTTACTAAATTGTGAAAATAACTGTAACACAGTAACTATTAAAATTTATGGCATAAAATTTCAGGGATCCCAGAAAAATGTAGCTTTTAAACCTTGCAAAATCTTACACTATCTATGGGATTGGCCTTCATTTCCAGCTAAGCGTTTTTCCTTCCTACTTCGTATGGAAAAGTCCAAATCTTTCAAACTTTTATTCATACATACACCAATCACGCACCTAGCACACATTAAATCATTCATATAAAACTAAGTCCTTTTATTCATTTAGTTCTTTCATAAGAAACCTTTGAAGGATTTCAACTGGAATGTAACCCAGTTAAGCCACGGTCAAACGAGAGTTTAGCAGTGTTACGAGGGACATTGCAAGCTCTTGTTAACAAAATAAAGGTTTAATATTAAATGTCCAACTATGTTTTAACTTATGGCGCGTTTGCCCTAATGCCACGGTAAATTACCGTAACGTTCTAATTTGCATCCGGAGTCTAGTATTCTATTCCTATATATAGTTGGTACGCTCCGGCAAACCACTGAGTGTAAACACGATGCTAAGAAACGTAGTGATTTTTGAACGGAATGCTAGCCATATCAGTGGCTATTAGTAAAACACGGAGCACACGGAGCACGGAGCACACGAACTACGGAGCAGTAGAAAAACGAAAATCCTTTATAATAAAATACACTGTTTACTATTACAAATTTTTGTTCTTATTAATAAAGTTTTTTCGCGTTTTACACGTTGAGGAAGTAGAAAAATGGGGCTTTTACTGCACATATGATGCAAAACTGCCAAAAGCCATAGTATTTAAAATAGGATTGTGCCTGTGAAACTCGTCACATATCTATCAAGCTTATGAGTTATGTACTGTTATATTATATTCCGATGGCCAACTTGGCATTAAGAAACACTTAGAGACAGCCGATATATTTCGTTACCCCTGCCAAAAAATAGCCAAGTACTCATCTTTCAATGTAGCGGATCGACTGAACATTATAAAAGCTTGTCATGGAGAGAAGTGAATTTTCGGTTTATCCTTCGTCCCAGTGACCAGTGAGCAGTGTGCTGTACGGCCTACGTTTAAACCGTTATACATAATTACTGCTTTCATTCTTTCAATCCGTTTTGAATATCGGAATCATTCACTATTATATTATAAAACTGTATAAGATAGCTGTAGAACTATAAATGCTGTAGAATAAAATAAATAAAGAAAACAACGTTTTATCGCGGTATTTGCCGACAAATCGGTAACCGCTACAGAAAAACAGAACAAATTACAGTAAATCACAACAAACCGCGGAAGTGGGACAATTTTGTATTTTTACTGTAAGACATGCAGAACATGTACGAAATCCATACAGAAGTGTGTGTGTATCAGTTCTATACTTTTGAAACAACTAAATCAGACTTCGGAAAATTTGACAGTATTAAAGCTACTTTTGAGAATTTAGATTTTAGGTCTTTGTTTTACATGTACCCAGTAAATATTTTTGAGTTTTGAACTCTGATTCTCACAAACTTACAATTTGTTTACAATTTACTCTGGCTCTGCCGTGCTGCACGGCAGAGTTGATCGGAATTGTAACAAATACGCGTACACTTAAATGGCTTCCTGAATTTAGTCAATCAGATGTGCAAAAATTACTCGTTTCAATTTCATGTTTATGCTCGAAACTGCTCATGTTTACAATATCAATTCTAACAATCTTGCCCTCCTTTTCGCCTTTGAGGCGTTGGTGTTGATTTATACACAAAATTCAAAACTCAAAAATATTTACTGGTCTGGGTACATGTAAAACGAAGACCTAAAATCTAAATTCCCAAAAGCAGCTTTAATACGGTCAAATTTTCCGAAGTCTGATTTAGTTGTTTCAAAAGTATAGAATACACACACACTTCAGTATGGATTTCGTACATGTTCTACATGTCTTACAGTAAAAATACAAAAATTGTCCCACTTCCGCGTTTGTTGTGATTTTAATACTGTAATTTGTTCTGTTTTTCTGTAGCGATTACCGATTTATCGGCAAATACCGCGATTTGAAAACTTACTTTTCTTTATTTATTTCATTCTACAGCATTTATAGTTCTACAGCCATCTTATACAGTTT